CAAAGATTCTCACCACTGGGCCAATTGGCAGCATCAGTATAGATGGTGAAGAGATTGAGATAGTAAACAGTTTTAGTTTGCTTGGCTCCACAGTCAACACTCTTGGTAACAGCAGCCAGGAAATCAGGAGATGAATTGCATTGTCAGCTGTGAGGGACCTCTCAAGAGTACTGAAGTGCAACAACGTCAGGCTGGAGACTATGGTGCGCCTGATCCAGGCTACAGTCTTTGCAATTAAGTGCTATGCATTGGAGAGTTGGACAGTGAATAGGGATGATAGAAAGAGAACTGACCCCTTTGAGTTGTGGTGCTCGAGAAGAGTGTTGAATATACCATGGACTGCTAGGACAACAAACAGGTTTATCCTGGGGAGGGTGAAGCCAGAATGTTCCCTGGAGTCAATGGTTCTGAAGCTTCGTCTGACATACTTTGGGCATGTTGCAAGAAGGGACTGGTCCTTGGAGAGGGACATCATGTTTGGGAGAGTAGAGGGATGATGCAGGAGAGGAAGACCCTCGATGAGATGGATCGATTCTGTGAGTGGAGTGGTGGGAACGAATGTGTTTGAGACAGCGAGGTTGGCACAGGATAGAACGGCGTTTAGGGCTGTTGTACATGAAGAGCTATGAGTAGCAAACGACTTGATGGCACATAACAACAACAACGGTTCATAACTATGAGTCATGCTTGACTTACCGGCACAAAACAACACCACTACCATCACCACCAACAACAAGAACAAAAACCTGGCCTAGTGAGGAGGGAGCTGTGCCGCTCACCGAAAGGTGGCATCGCTCTCACGGTTCAAATCCAGTAGCTGCTCCATGGGACAAAGATGGACAATCTCCACCAGGATGTCAGACAGCCTCTGAAAATCAGTCCTCAGAGTGTAAGCTAGGAGCCATCCCAAATTTAAAAGTAATAAGAGGTTTCTTGAGTGTTTACAAAGACGTTTACTAGATGTTGCAGAACGCAATGAAGACCCATCCTTTCTTCTTTCTAGTACAGCATGTAAAGAACATTCGTGATGAGTGAAGTATTTATCCTTTTATCACCATTATGATACCTTTGGAAAACCATGCCTCCTACATTTAAAAGAGAAATATTTAACTCAGTAGAAACTTAATATGATGGATATCATGGGATAAAACTCATATATCAGCCCCACTTGTTCATTACTGTTGAGTTGGACCTAACTCAGAACTGACCCACCACTGCACTTTGGAAGCTATAAACTGCATGAGAGGAGCCTGCTCATCTTCCTCCCATGGAACCACTGGTGGACGTGAACCCCCGAAGAAGTGAGTCCTCTGGCTCAGCAATGCAACACCCTATGGATCATGACACCAGAGTTCCCCAGAGAAATGGCGTGCGCCTCCCCTCTCGTCAACTACAGCAAGGGGAAGGATGTAAGTATAAACAGGCCAACATCAAACTCCAGAGTCCAGAGACACAGCCTATAAATAAATTTTATTTGAATATAATGGATTCATCTTTTAACGACTGAAGGTCTACTGTTAAGCAGAGAATTCCTTTGCAAATTATTTTAAGTGATCAAGACGAACTACTTAAGTGAAGATTTTATTCACACACTGGATTGCTTGTCATTGAAAGTCAGACACTCAAAGTTAAATATGTGAGTACTTCTCACAAACCATACCCTCAGAACTCCCCACACTGTGTATATACATTTACTCTAAATGTTGTGTGTTAAGTGCCGTTGAGTCATAAGCCACTCATAGGGGTCCTATGAATGACAGTCCTTGACACTTGCGTGCGTGACTTTTGTCCTTTATCCAGGTTCATAGGGTTTCCGCAAGCACGCTATTTATGGGAAGTGGAGGCCACTCCTGCTTATATTCTAAATAGAGAAGAATATAAATCCAGCTACATTCATTTTCTCTAAGCATTAGTATTTTGGCACAATGCAATGGTAATACTGCTGCTTTCAGATTGCTTTTAGTCATCATCAAGCATAAAGGCTAAAGCATTAAGTATAAAGGCTAAAGCATAACACACTAGAGTTTTGTTGAGTTTTTAAAATTTTTTCTACTATTTCCAAAATTCAAATACAAATTTGAACAGATTCTTTCCATTTCCCTCACTCTCTTTCCCATCAAACTATACAACCCAATGATTAATCCCCATTCCTCCTTGCACATCCACATCCCTCTGCTTCCAGCCTCTCCCACCCCTTCTGGATCCTTATACTCATTCTACAATAAAGGTTTTATACAATATTTATCCTTACGGGACTGAGTTAGTTCACGCAGCATAATGCTCTCCAGTCCTGCCCAAGTTAGGTAATAATTTGCAAAGTTATTGCTTCTGTGACACACTGGTTTTTTAATGGTAGACCTCTCATCTGTAAATGCCCCTTATTCCCAGAAACAACCTGAGCTCTGTGGCTGCCTGTGTGCCACTATGATACTAAACAAGTCTAAGCAGAGCTCCAGACTACGGCAGGTGAGGAAGAAAGGGCCCCACATGCACAAAATAGTCAACGAAAACCCCACGGATCACCACAGAGCAATGGCTGATCTGCAGTCAGGGTACAGCATGGGCCTGAACATTTTGTTCTGTTCTCCACAGGGTGACCGTCAGTCAGGTCAATTGAATGAGACCTGGAAACAACCACCCAACAGCTAACCCCAACTGACCACACCTGTGTGGACGGTAGAATAGGGATGTCAAAGACCAGGCAGCATGTGTTCCAGTTTGTGCCTGGGACTGCTATGAGGCAGGGCTAATGAGACAGCAGCTACCACCACACACAGCAAGCAAATCTACACAGAAACCAGGCCTACCTTAGAAGAATCGGAACTTTTCATATACGGCTCAGCACAGTGTGTGATGCTTCCCTGGAGGACCTTCTCAATTCTGGCCACGAGAAATATATCCGGATGAGGACACGTGACCGAAAAGATTCCCTGGAGGACAGACCATTTGCTTCAGCAGGCAGAACTCACAGCCACAATCAAGCAAACCCATGACCACAGTCATTTCAAACAGTGGACCAGAATGGTCACCAAGAAACAGATGGTGTACACTGGTTAAATGGCCAGCTCAGGGAAATCTGTCCACTTGGGAAGCTAACCAAGTAGAAAAAAATGTAGAAATAAAAAAAAAATTAAGATGATTTCTCATCTTGTTTAGACTCTTATTATTGTCTTAACCCAAGAGTGCACCACAAAAGCTCATTTTGATATTTTTAGTGTTTACACACAGCCTGGGCTAGAAGACCCTCAGCAGCAAGGCCCTTGGGTTCGTGCCCCTCTACCTGCTTTGGATACTGCATGGCGGCCTCGTGCAGGACTTCCAGAAGCACAGGGGAGCTCTGCCCGCTGCCGTTCATCAGGCCCGTGGGCGCGGAGCTCAGCATCTGCCTCACTGAGTAATGGTTCAGGTCCACGTGGAAATCAGCAGAAATCTTCTGGTTGTACTTTATGTCAAACAGGGACAGAGTCACAAAGAAAGGCTCTACCTGAACGAAACAAAATAATCCAGGTCATCATTCGTAATGCTCAAACTGTCAGCAAGAAAAGAATGCTGCTCTCAAAGGAGCAGGAACTATTTATGACTCTTGCTACGTGTTAAAGGCTCAGCCCTTACCACGCAAGAGCATCACATTATAAAAATTCAAGGAAGGAAAAAAAAGATACTACTGATGCCTTTGAGCTTTGGTGCTGGAGAAGAGTACTGAATATACCATGGACTGCTAGGGGAATAAACAGGTTCTTCCCAGAGAGGATGAAGCCAGGCTGTTCCTTGGAGGCAAGGATTCTGAAGCTTCATCTGACATACTTTGGACATGTTGCAAGGAGGGACCAGTCCTTGAAGAGGGACATCATGCTCGGGAGGGTAGAGGGATGGTGCAAGAGAGGAAGACCCTCAATGAGATGGACTGATTCCATCACTGGAATAATGGGGATAGGTGTGTCAGAGACAGTAAAATTGACAAGGGTTTAGGGCTGTTGTACACAGGGTTGCTATGAGTCTTAAGTGACTCGACGGCACATAACAACAACAACAACAATAATAACCACTGTTTACATGATTTACTGCTTAGTCAATCCTCTGTAGAAAACAGTTAGGCTCCTTAATACCCAAGATAAAGGCTGTCTCCTGGAACACTGAGCATAAACCTACCATTCTGTCCCTTCTCAAAATTATCCTGTCAATGCAGACTAAGAGATGCTCCCCAAACAGGCTTATCTTAGATTTATGGCGAGTTCATTCCAGACTACCATCATAAAACAAGTATTGCAACAGAGCAAATGACATAAGTATTTTGTTTACCACTGTATAAAAAAAAGCTATCAAGTCTATCAAGCATTATGAAAAAAATCTTAAACACAGTGGGAATTATCAAACTGTGACACAGATACAAATGAGCACACATTGCTGGAAATAGACTTACTCAAAACAGAGTTGTCATATTTAGGGTTTTTTTTTAAAAAAAATGTCATATGTATAAAGCAAAGCACAACAAATGGAAGAAAGCCTGTAGGATTGAACTCTTGCCCCTCTCTGATACTTAAAAATTAGCATTCCATGACTGCAACTGGCACATCTCACAACCTCTGGACATTAAAAAATAAAATCTTAGTTTGTAAATGTGTAATTACATTGGTAGTGGGTCCTTCCTCATTTTCAGCAACACAGCATTGCAAATTGAAAGATAAATCATTGCACTTGACAAGAATTCGTTTCCCAAACTTCTCCTCAAATGGCTTCACATCTGGCTCAGCTGAAGAATAGTCAAGCTTCTTTAAAAGAAAATGCAAACATATACACGTTATGCTCCCATTTAAACAATCTCACCACAAATATATACTAAAGAAAACAGCAGAAAATATGAAAAAGCAACATGGACTCATTTATTTGCAATAGTGTTAACCCTAATTTTTAAAATTAGTTATCTTTAATTTCTCTGGTTTTAGAATAATGGTCAAGTAAATTAAGGTCTAGCTACGTGGTGGATGATTACATTATGGTTATAAAGTGTATAGACAAAGAGATAATTTATTTAAGATAAATGAAGAACAGGAGGTCTATAAAGATTACAACACAGAGAGAAAAGTAGAACAAAACTCAAAATCATAAAAGTAACCGGCTTCCTGTTTTAATAGAGACTAGCAGAACCCCTAAAAATATGACCTTTGTGTCTAAAACAAAACTCAGTCCTGTGGCTCAACCTTTGGTGAAATAACAGACATAAAGCTAATACTAGGAAGTTACTCTCTCCTCAGACGGATCAGTTGTACAAGCTCAAAAGGGAAGTATTTGTCTAGTGAGAAAGCTCAGAAGGCAGGAAGGGACAGGAAAGAAGGATGAGTGGAAACCAGAGTCACCAGGATGAAGTGGGAGGAGTGCCATTAAAGGTGACAATGTCATTATTAACGCCATAAACCAAAATCTGTTACAATTTCTTGGAGAACCAATTTTCTTTCTACACTTTCACTCAACACACAAAAGTAATTTTTAAAAGGCACAAAAAAAGTTTTTTAAAAAGACAACAAAAGAATGGAGAGACAATATGCATGAACCTACGTCTTCTCCAAGTAGCCTGTGCACTTCTGGGCAGCCCTGAAAAGCCTTGTTACACAGGAGTTTTAAGTTTTCCTGGGTCAGAGATGTGGACTCAAGCTTGGGAAGGCTTGTACTTGGGACAGAGTCTTGACTAGTCAGATAGTATCATAGTCTACTTGGCATATATATAGTGATGGTTATTGATGGGGTATATTACATGTTCTTTGTAGAAGATTGAGACCAACTTTGGATGTGTCTTCCAAAAAAGTAGTTGTAGTGTTATTGTGATGAGATTATAGATTGCTATTTATTTCCCAAATTGTTGTTATATTGGTTATTAAGCAAAATAAACATGCCAGTAAATATCCAAATAATCAACCAAACATTTTCTTTCTCACATTTAGTTAGAACTTTAACATACTTCTCACCTGGGCATCTGGGTCCAAGTAAAAAAGTTTAACTCTGCTTTCACTTTTCAATTTGATTTCGGCTTCTCTGGTACTCTGGTAATAAGATAATGAAAATTACAATTAAAAACTAATTTTTGTACAAATGTATCTAAAGACATGCCCTGACCTGCAGAGTCGGGTTCAAGCAAATTTGTCTCTTAAAAGGCAAATGAATATCAATGAGAAAGCAAATACTGTCAGCAGTGGCATCCACTTCCTAAACAACACGCCTCTGGAAACTCTACGAACTTTTATAAATGTCGATAAGAAAAGCTTCAGGCCTTTTGTTCATAGGCTCATGGAGTAGTGCTCAACTCAAAGGCAATCAACAAACAAACATCACACAATATTAAGTGTTACAGGACACATCACCCTCCCTTCCGAGACATTACCACTAAACTTAGGAGACACTGGTCACAGCATAAGAAATTGTCAGCAGTTGACGTGTTTAGAATCACAGAAGCCAACAAAGCTTCAAATACAAGATGTCTATCAAGGACTGGACAATGGAAGATAAATGCTGAAGGGATTCCATAGAAGTTGAAGGGGTATCCTGGTGGAGGGTGGAGCTAGGAAATAAGTGGGTCAAGACACTGGGCCAAAGGGCAGGGACAACACTGTAACTAATGGTTA